GAGCGAAAACTTGGGGTTTTGATAAAAGTTAGATTTAACCGCGAATTTTGTTATGAAATGAATTAGAAATCATATATTATTGATCCTTGGGTTATAAAGAACAACTTTCTTCAAAATATTTTGGAATCCGGGCACGTGGGCCCGAGGTCGAATTTTAGGAAACTTGTGTTAAGGGTTGAAAAATTGCTTAAATAGCTAGAATACGATCTTGTGAGCTTATATTGACTAGTTCCTACCCCATTTAACTAGTTTTGGATCGTTCGGCTCTGAATTGAGGGTTGGGGCTCGTTCTTGGTATTGGAAGTACATTTTGGAGCGAGGTAAGTCTCCTTTCTAACCTTGTAAGAGGGAAATGTCCCCATAGGTGTAATAATTGAATAAATTGCTACTATATGCGGAGGCTACGTACGCACTAGGTGACGAGAGTCCGTGCGTAGCTACTATTATGCTAAGTCCGAGTAGTTTAGGACCCAAAAGCATGCTCTATGTGACATTCTTGTAACTTTATGTTTAATTCGGATTTGTATAAATCGTGTTGATTAGGGTAAATGAGACTAGTTAGAGGAACATTATCTTTCTTGGCCTTTTAAAGAGGAACTGATTATTTCTGTGAGTAACTGCTCCCTAGACATACACTATTGTCTGCTTGTTGTTGTGTTTATTTATATTTGACCGTGTCGCATGTTTGATTCGCGAGCGGGGTAATAGATGCATCTATGGTTCGTCGTTCGACCCTCGGAAGTGCACAATTTACTTTTATGTTGGATCGGGCCGTACGACCCTCGGCACTACTTGCGCATGCTTCACTTAGTATTTTTCTGTGGACTGAACTTCGTACATGCCTTGAAATGTAAATTGTTAACCATGATATTATCTGGAAAGAGGAACTGTTATTTCTTGCCATAAAATTTTAAATAAATTGTACTATCCATGCTTAGTATAAATTCTTTCTCATATTATTTGACCCTAGTAAGTATCAAGTCGACCTCTCGTCTCTACTTCTTCGAGATTAGACGAGATACTTACTGGATACATATTGTTTATGTACTCACACTACACTTCTGTACTTAATTGTACAAGATCTGAGGCAGGTACCTCTGACTATCAGTCTGGTGCGCATCCCTGAGCACATTTCGAGACTTCTACGGTGAGCTGCTCCATTTCTTGTGCCGTCAGCAGCTTGATGAAATCTCTCTTATTTATTTTTGCTGTCTATTATATTCAGACAGTAGGATAGATTAATTCTTTTGTATATTCTACTAGTTGCCCACAACTTGTGACACCGGGTCTTGGCACACACATTAGTAGACTATTCTTTTGGGAATTATATAATTACTTTACTGGTTATTACTCGTTCTAATCTTAACTTAAGGAATTATTGAAATTGTTTGGTAAAAGTAAAATAAGGACTCATTTGGTATTTTCCGTGTTGGCTTGCCGACAATGGTGTTGGGTGCCATCATGACCTAGTATGGAAATGGGTCGTGACAATAGTAGTAGTAGTAGTAGTAGTAGTAATAGTAGTAGTAGTAGTTGATCGTACCTCCATCTGTATTTTTATAATTAGTTAAGATAGGGGTGTTATATTTATTTTTCAATTCATTTTTAAAAAAAAATATATTAGTTAAGATATGGCAGTAGGTTATATCTTTAGAAAAATATTCATTTTCTTTCCATTCAGATTGAAAAGAATTTTATTTACTATCTTTTTATTTAAATTAAAAAATAATCTTATATTTTAATTTAAATTAAATGCTATTACAAATATTATCTTAAATTACTAAGTGGCTTATAGTAGCTAGCCACTTGGTTTAACCAATAATTATATANGGCAAGCCAACTACTCCAATTATTTTACCCTTTTCATTTTTGTCTTTTAACAATTTACAAGTTAACATAATATAAACAGCGGAATAATAATGCGGAAGAATGGAATTAACAATTTAACTTAATACAAATACGAATCCATAATAGAGTTCTACCCATAACTAGAGCTACAATCTCACGGACTGTCTAAGAATACTACAAATAGTGGTCTGAAGAAGAAAATACACGTTTGTCTCAGAAATAAGTAAAACAGAATGAAACTAGGATAGAAGGAGATGCCAAGGCCTGCGGATGCCTGCAGGACTACCTCGGGTCTCCACTGGACTGAAGGCAGCAACCTCGAACTACGGTCTGTAGGGTCCAGACTGGGATCTGCATAAAAGAGTGCAGAGTGTAGTATCAATACAACCGACCCATGTACTGGTAAGTGTCGAGCCTAACCTCGGCGAAGTAGTGACGAGGCTAGTACACGACAATTATATAAACCTGTGCAATTTTATCATATACGAGAAGCAATAATAACAAGGATGGAACAGAATAAAGCGGGAAAAGGGGAAACATACTGGGGGGATATCAGGTTATGACAATAATGAAGTAAAGCAACAAAACATCTATCAAACTTGAAGCAACGGAAATAATAACACAACAACAAGTGCACGACATCACTCTTCGTGCTTTTACTCTGGTCCTCACCATAGAAATTAATAAAAATGGCACGACATCATTCTTTGTGCTTTTACTCTTTCATAATCATGGCACGACATCACCCTTCGTGCTTTTACTCTTAATAATATGGCACAACATCACCCTTCGTGCATTAACACTCACAATATCGACACGGCATCACCCTTTGTGCATTAACACTCTCTCACAATATCATGCACGGCATCACCCTTCGTGCTTTACACTCTTCCTCACCCAGACAAATGAAATAATAATATTCCGGCAAGGAATCAACAATAGAATCAACAACAGAAACAATACCGTCCCGGCAAGGGAGTCAACAATATAAACCATATCATCCCGGCAAGGGAATCAGCTATAACCAATCTAGTTTCAATAGTTACTTCACAAAATAAACCTCAACTTGAGCCAATGCTCGACAATGATCAATTACCAAGAATTTATTATAAGCCTTGTTCCACAGTGCTAATCATCAACTTAAGCATGAACAATACAAAATAAAATCACAACAATCTTAATATAAGACTCACGGGCATGCTTGACACCAACGTATAAATACTCGTCACCTCACCTATACGTCGTACTCTACACTAACACGTAGCAAATAAGACACAACACCTATTCCCTCAAGCTAAGGTTAGGCCAAATACTTACCTCGGATTCTACGGCCAAACTCAAGCCTCTAATACCGCTTTCCCTTTTGATTCTACTTCCAATTCAATTGTATCTAGTCAATATTAACTCATTAACATTAATTGAAGCTCAAGAAACCAATTTAAATGAAAAATTATAGATTTTCCAACATTCTTCCAAAAAAGTCAAAACCCGACCCTGGGCCCACTTGGTCAAAACTCGAGGTTCGAACCAAAACCTGTTCACCCACTCACCCACGAGCCCAAATATGCAATAGTTTCGGAATCCGACTCCAAATCGAGGTCTAAATCCCCAAATTTGTAAAATCCCCAATTCTCCTAAAATCCCTAATTCTCCTAAAACCTCTAATTTCTACCCTTAAAGAACAAGATTTAGGTCTAGAAATCTTATGGGTATTGATGGAAAATAAAGAAAATGGGTTTAAGAACACATAGCTATGATTTGGTGTTGAAACTTCTCTTCAAAAATCGCCTATGGTCTGATTTTAGGAAAGGAGATATGAAAATTTGGGTCAAATCCCGTTTTGGTTCTGTTTTAAAAAGACTGGGCAGGCCTTCTTCGCGTTCGCAAAGGGCCTGCCGCGTTCCCGAAGAGCTTCCTTCCTCAGGCTTATGCGATCGCGAGTTCTTCCACGCGTTCGTGAAGGGTATGCCCCATGTCCTTCGCGTTCGCAGACCAATGTACGCGTACGCGTAGAAGAAATGACCAATTCCCAGCCCACCTCCATTTTACACTCGCGTTCGCGTGACACCAGCCGCGTTCGCGATGAGCAGTCCCCCAGCGTTCCGCGTTTGCGACTGTGGCTATGCGTTCACGATGAACAAAAGTTAGCCCCAGTCCTGAGTACACTTCGCGATCGCGAGAGTGGTTTTGCGACCGCGAAGCATAAATTTCCTGCACACCAGAAATAGCAAAGACAGTTGAAGATCTTAAGTCCAAAACATCCTGATACCTATCCGAACCAAACATGCATACTAACCTAAAAATATCATATGGACTTACTCGTGCGATCAAATCGCCAAAATAACACCTAGAACTACAAGTTTAGCATCAAAATCAAAGAAAAATCTCAAGAACTCTTAAAGTTCCATTTTCACAACCGAGGGTCCGATTCACGTCATATGAATTCCATTTCTTACCAAAATTTACAGGCACAACTTAAATACCATATTAAACCTTTACCGGGCTCCGAAACCAAAATACGGACCCGATACCATCAAATTCAAACATCTTTAAATTTCCAAAAACTTTTATTTTTTCAGTTAAACAATTTCTTTCAAAAATTCATTTCCCGGGCTAGGGACCTCGGAATTAAATTCCGGGCATACACCCAAGTCCCATATTTTCTTGTGGAGCTCCAGGACCGTCAAATTACGGATCCGGGTCCGTTTACCCAAAATGTTGACTGAAGTCAACTTAAATTCAATTTTAAAGGCAAAATTAACATTTTCCTCAAATTTTTCACATAAAAGCTTTTCGGATATACGCCCGGAATGCGCACGCAAATCGAGGTGAGACAAAAGGAGATTTTAAGGTTTCGGAACACAGAATTAACTTGTAAAACAAGTGATGACCTTTTGGATCATCACAATATATATATATATTCCTACTTTTTAAGAAGGATAACCTGCACATATCATCGTCGGAGTATATTAATTAAACTCAAATTATTTTTACGTTGCATTATACTATGACATACTAGATGTGAACACGGATATGATAGTCTTTAAGGTTCTCACTTTTACACTAGTGAGAACAAAACAAGTCAGTATATATAAGTTAAATTCCTCTCAAAAAGAGTATAAAACAAATTTACACCGCCACTTACAGAAGGAAATACTTAGTCAACGTTTGCATTGATTTTCGATTGCAACAATCCCATGAAGAGGAAGATTAAGTGAAGACTCATTTAATAAGATTCTCTCTCTATTTCGAGCAGTTAATTAATTCATTAATTAGTCTATATCCCAACCTTCTTGACCATCTATTCATTTCATCTCTCTTATATCTTTTATGTCACTTTCATATATCCCTTTTCTTCTTTCTTTCTCTATCTTAGTTTGAGATTAATTTTTGCTAGTAGCCATGATTAATGGGAAAGACATATATGATGTTCTTGCTGCAATTATACCATTATATGTTGCTATGATCTTAGCTTATGGCTCAGTCCGTTGGTGGAAAATCTTTACACCAGATCAATGCTCTGGAATTAATCGATTCGTGGCGGTTTTCGCCGTTCCATTGCTTGGTTTTCACTTCATTTCTACCAATGATCCTTATGCTATGAACTACCATTTCATTGCTGCTGATTCACTTCAAAAAGTTGTGATTCTTAGCGCACTTTTTGTATGGCAAGCCGTGACCAAAAATGGAAGTTTAGAATGGATGATCACACTTTTTTCCTTGTCAACTTTACCAAATACTTTAGTTATGGGAATTCCTTTGCTTAAAGCTATGTACGGTGATTTCTCAGGAAATCTTATGGTTCAAATTGTGGTTATGCAAAGTGTAATTTGGTATACACTTATGCTTTTTATGTTTGAGTATAGAGGTGCTAAGTTATTAATTGGTGAACAATTTCCTGAAACAGCTGCTTCTATAACTTCATTTCGTGTTGAATCAGATGTTGTTTCACTTAATGGTCGTGAACCATTACAAGCTGATGCTGAAATAGGAGATGATGGGAAATTGCATGTTATTGTTAGAAGATCTTCTGCTTCTTCTATTATTTCATCATATAACAAGTCACATTTACCGTCAAATAATATGACTCCAAGAGCTTCGAATTTAACTGGTGTTGAGATTTATTCTGTTCAATCGTCTCGAGGTCCGACCCCGAGGGCATCTAGTTTTAATCAGACTGATTTTTATGCTATGTTTGCTAGTAAAACAGCAAGTCCAAAACATGGTTATACAAATAGTTTTGGTGGAGATGTGTTTTCTTTGCAATCATCTAAAGGTCCAACTCCAAGAACTTCAAATTTTGAAGAGGACATGTTGAAGAACAAGAAGATTAGGGGAGGTACGTAGTATTAAATTGTGTGACCATCTCGTTTAAAAATATTATACTTTTAGTTAATTTATTCATATTATGTCGACAGGTAGGAGTATGAGCGGGGAGTTATTCAATAGTGCTAGTACTGCTTCTGCTAATGGATTAGGAGCACCACCTTTATATCCACCACCAAATCCAATGTTTGCTGGGCAAAGGAAAAAGGAAGTGGGAAGTGGGAGTGGGGTGCCTGTGCCAATGCCGATGCCGAATAATAACAATAACAATAATAATAATAATAATAATAATAATAATAATAATAATAATAATAATAATAATAATAATAATAATAAAGAACTTCATATGTTTGTTTGGAGTTCAAGTGCATCTCCTACATCTGAAGGTAATCATAGAAATGCAGTTAACAAATCTGGATCAACTGAACTTGGGATTCTTGATGCATCTAAGGCTGTTCTTCAACAAGAGATAGCTGCAGCTAGAGGTAAATTAAAGTCTTTTTTTAATCTTCAAAATTTGTCTCTAGTGCATACATACAATTAATTATTTTCTGTCCTTTTTGACATATTTGGCTCCTATTTAGTCCTTTCTTCTTCACTTTTTCTTAGTTGACCACCTTCAATCATCAAGGATTTACCTTATAATACAGTAAAAATATTTTATACTATTACATATTTTAATAAGTTGCAGCAGGTAATATGTTATATTTTGTATGTTACTAATTCCACTTTCTAAGAACACATATCTACTTGTAGTAGTTTTTAGGTGATCTAATAATGTAAAATTTGAGATTGAAGGAGGCTATCCCTCTTGCTTACTGAATCTAACCACTTAGCTTAAAAGGATAGTCGATACGCGAAGCATCCCGCATTCAGGGTCTAGGGAAGAGCCGCACCCCAAAGGGTGTAATGTGGGCAACCTACCCTAATACAAGCGTCAGTGGCTGATTCCACGGCTCAAACCGTGGTCACATGGAAACAACTTTAACGTTGCTCCGTGGCTCCCCTTATAATCGCTTAGCTTGGGCAACAAAACATTTTATACATATATGTTGGACTAAAGATTTCTTTAATTTTATCCTCTTTAATTTTTTCATTGTCTTTTTTCTTATTTGATAGAGAATGCAAGTCCAGTAGGGAAATCAATTGGAGATAAAGAAATAGAGATTGAGGAAGGTTCCAAGTATTCAGGAAATGGCTCTCCTTTCCCTGGGCAGAAGAAAATGGACATGGAATTAGAAGGAGAGAAGAAACAACAGATGCCTCCTGCTAGTGTTATGACAAGGCTTATACTTATTATGGTGTGGAGGAAATTGATAAGAAATCCAAACACATATTCAAGTTTGTTAGGTCTCATTTGGTCTCTGGTCTCATTCAGGTCTACTTCTTTCTCCTTCTTCTACCAATTAATTCAAATGTTTCTACATATTTTAATGAATGAAATAATTCAAACCATCTGAATTGTCTTCATATAGTGAATTGCATTTATTTTGTATTGCTGGAATGACTTTGGCCACCTAAGGGTGTCTCTAATCCACTTCATGACTTAATAGTTCCAAGTTGTCTAGACTTATAATAATCCATTTAAAACAAAAGAAAATATTACTCCCTTTGTCCCAATTTATCTGACGGAACTTAGATTTCGAGAGTCAAACTTCTTATTTTTGACCGTGAATTCGGACATAAAATTTTTAAATTTTCGAAACAAAAATTGTATATTTGGAAACTACGTAAAGAGTATGTAAGTCACAATAACTAACTATCCAAAGTATTTTTAATAAAGAAATTGCGGTCAAAGAAAAACTCCTTTGACTCTTGAAATTAGAACTCTGCCACATCAATTGGGACGGAGGGAGTACAACCTTAAGGACTATTAGTGATTAAAATTTAAATGTTGGTGTCCAAAATGTGCAGATGGAATATTCAAATGCCTTCCATAGTGAAAGGATCAATCTCAATTCTATCAGATGCTGGTCTTGGAATGGCTATGTTCAGTCTAGGTATAATTTTTTTTTCCTTTCAAACAAATATAACATACACACTCTTAATAAACTTTACATTATATATACTAATTGGTTTAATATATAGGTTTGTTCATGGCTTTACAACCAAAGATCATAGCCTGTGGGAAATCTGTTGCCACATTTTCAATGGCAGTAAGGTTCTTAACAGGACCTGCAGTCATTGCAGCTACTTCAATCGCTATTGGTCTTCGCGGTGTATTACTACATGTTGCCATTGTTCAGGTACATTACGAGTTTAACTTTTATGCACTGATAGTCTAAACTGATGATAAGAACGTTTCAAATTAATATTGCCATTGTTATAACTTGCAGGCTGCTCTTCCCCAAGGCATTGTTCCCTTTGTGTTTGCAAAAGAATACAACGTCCACCCTGACATCCTTAGCACTGCGTAAGTTTCTACAATTAATTATATCAAAATATTGTTATGTTAGACATGAAGGGGCGTATTGGCGTAACTGGTAAAGTTGTTGTCATGTGACTTAGAAGATCACGGTTTCGAGCCGTGAAAATAGCCTCTTGCAGAAATGCAGGGTAAGGCTGCATGCAATAAACTCTTGTGGTCCGCCCTTCCCTGAACCCGTGCATAGCAGAAGCTTAGTGCACCGGACTGCACATTATCTGAATATGAACTAGAGAATCATTTTATATAGGACAATTTTTTTTTTTCCTTTTTGGCTTCCAAATGTAAAGCAAAGATGTTTGTATTCAACTTTCAAAAGTCAAGAGAGCATAATAGAACTACAAAGCTACATAAAATAATAGTTATAGCTTTGAAAATCTATACGAAATTATTCAAATTCTCATTTTTCTTTGGTCTTTGGCAGGGTTATATTTGGAATGCTAGTTGCCTTGCCCATTACAATACTCTATTACGTGCTTCTTGGGCTTTAAGTTTTTGGTGAAGACATGGGGAACAGAGACAGACAAGTTTAATGAATCCAAGAAATAATTAAGGCAATGGATTCAGGGAAGAAAGACAACAGGAAACAACTATGTGCCCCCCTGCATGTGACTATTGGGACTTATTCTTATACAAAAACTGCATTAATTTATTTTAATTCTTTTTTTTTTCATTTTATAGTTGTAATTTAATTGTTGTTACCATAGTTAGCTTAGGAAGAGGAACTGGTCAATAGTAGAATTATTGATGTATTATTACTTCATTTACTAATATCAAAGTTTTAGTTTAGATCTAAACATTTGACACTATTGTCTTGCTCAAATGTTGTTAACCTGTTCATTAAGAAGAAATAAAAAAAAGTTTTCCAAAAGCCTAATATTTAAATGTAGAAAGATAGAAGGGGCAGATCGATTATTCGGCAAGTGTCTACGCCCCCAAAAAGTTAATGTAGGAGTGCAAAGGTTTCCTCGAGCCGGACGGAAATTAGCCCTTGAGTGCAAAAGCAGAAGGGAGCTTGACTGCAAGACCCACCCGTCAAGCAGGTACGAAAGTCGGCCTTACTGATCCGACGGTGCTGAGAGGAAGGGTTGTCACTCAACGAATAAAAGTTACTATAGGAATAAAGTTACTCGATCCCCAAGAGCTCACATTGATCGGAATGTTTGGCACCTCGATGTCGGCTCTTCGCCACCTGGAGCTATAGTATATTCCAAGGGTTAGGATGTTCTTCCATTAAATCGGTACGTGAGTTGGATTTAGAGAACTTCGTGAGACAGTTCGGTCCATATCCGATGTGGGTGTTAGAGCATTAAAAGGACCTTTCCCTAGTACGAGAGGACCGGGAAGAACTCTAGCTTGCCAAATTTCTATGGTATATAGGCTAGATCAAACTTTTAATTAAATCACAACCTACGTTTTCTTATACACAATGGAGAAAGAAAAGGGATTGTGTTCTTTTTCCTTTTTCATTTTCTATAAATATATTAAAATGAAAAAAGTTTCTACCTTGTATATTTTTCTTCATTTGCTTTCAAGGGTAAAATTACTTGCTCCTATTTAAGTCGAATTGTGAACAAAAGCAAAGATACATTGATGTGTGTGGGTGCAACAAAGTCAACTAATTTTGTAAATTCAAGAAAGTAAAAGATGTTCTCTTTTCACACAAGCTAAACGAATAAAATGAAGTGGAAGTTTCTACTTCTTTAATAAAGAGATTCCCTCAAATTCACAAAAAAAAAAAAAAAAAAAAAAAAAAAAAAAAAAAAAAAAAAAAAAAATGAATAGACGGTTTGTATGGTGAAGACAGTTTCTACTAAAAGTAACAAATTGTGAAAATTTGAACTAAAGAAAAAATACGATTGTTCTACTTTTTGTACAGTTCAATCATGACAAAAATTTATTATAAAATAAAAGTCAAACGAGGTGGATTCTATTTTATTTCTACGGAAATTTATTCAATTTATTTTATTCCGGCTATGTTGGCTTTATTTGACCATCTGAGTTCGTAAAATTTCTACATGCACGTGAAAGCTTAAATTCAATAATAAAGGATAATCATACTAGGGAGAAGAGAAATTTAGCTTAGAGCATTGTTCCAAGATTTGCCTCTTAAAAAACTTGTTGTTCTGAGTTTCAAGCATCTTGATAATTTTTTAATTTGTTGTATCATGTGACACCTTTAATAGGAAAGAGACAGTTGAACACTTTTGAATCTAAACCTGTACACTCAACTGAACACTCTTTTTTAATTCATTATAACCGAAATGAAAGGAAAACGGTAAAGTTATTTTTGTGTGATCTGAAGTTACGGGTTTAAGTCGTGGAAGCTAGCAACCACTAATGCTGGCAATAAGGTATGTTGTCTATATACCCCTTGGGATGCGGTATTTTCCTGGACCCTACGTGAATGTAAGATACCGTGTGCATCGGACTGTCTATTATTTTTTAATTTTATAACCAAAATATCAATTTTCTTAGAGGTGTTTTCCAAGATCGAAATTTCATTTTACTCCGTTAAAGTCAATTGGATATGCAAATAAATATTTACCTTGCGTATATACACGTCAATCACCGAATATTGTACGTTCATGGCACAAAATTCATTGCAGTGATAATTAACTAATTATACTTGGTGCACTTTGACATGCATGCATTTTCATTTTTTTTTTTTTTTTGGACCGAATACATTTAAGTAACTGCAAAAATGATAAGATAATATGCTTATTAAGCGAAGAGTTAAACGTATGCTGTCGCAAAAGGAAACATTTATTTCGAAACTAACGGAGTAATTTAACGATAAACCGAATTATATAAAAATCTATATTAAAAAATTTAAGTTTCAATCATAAACGAAAACGGAGTTATGAAATTGATGAGGTCCATCTCATTGAAGAAGTATTAGGCATGTGCCTAATAAAAGTTTCTTTGGTTTGGTAATCAACCTTGTTGACTTGGTTTGGTTAGATAGCCAACCTTGTTGAATTAGTTTGGTTTGGTAGCCAACCTTGTTGAATTTCTTTGGTTTGGTAGCCAATTTTGTTGAATTGTGAAAAGTGTGTGTAAATTGTCAAATATTGTAGGCTTTAGAGGGTGAAACTTTGGCTATAAAAGGAGAGCTTCAACTCTCATTTCTTCACACCAACAAAGAGAGAAAGAAAGAGTGAGGTTTCACAGACAAGGTATAAGAAAATAGTCTGGGGTTTTCCACGTAAAAATTTTGGTGTCATTGTTACTTCTGGTTAATTACCGTATCGATCAAGAAATGTTTGAATTATTGATACTGACAGAAAAAACACTGAATAATGCTTTGCCATTGGCTTAATCAATTCTTCTGAATTAGTACAAAGAACATGCAAGGCGTTTTCTGAATCAAATTATGTAGCAATTTAATCTATTATCAATTGCGTACAAACAATGCATGTGATAATGTTCCTCCAAGTCTGAACAAAATGGATCTTACCAGCACGACAACAGCGCACTTTTATAAAAACTCTTTAAGATCTTGTAGCCGTTAGAAGAAAAGGATGCATTGTTCCCTTTTAACTTAAACAAGGAAATTAAGTTATATATATTAACACTGTAAAAATATACTTATTTTACCATTAATTTAATTATTTAACAGGCAATAGCAGGTTATTATATTATTATGTAGAGTATAGTACTACTAGTTTGTTATATATGAAGAGTTACATGTAGTTGGTTAATATAAATTGATTGTATAAAATATTTATACAATATTTGTGCACACTGGGGCAGAGCCATATCCAGTGTAAGGTTTAGCTCGGTTTGAGTTGCCTTGGTACTATGCCTTTGGAAAAATATCCACACGGCT